CTATGTATCGCTATCAGTTTTCATATGATTAATAAACACACAGTACTGGCCTGGCCAAGGGTTTAAAAAAAAAAAAACAAATCTTTACTTACAAATAAAACAAGTTTTTTTAAAAAAAAAAAATCAAATCTTTTTTCACAAATAAAGTAAAAATGAGTCAGTTTAAAATAATAATAATTTTTTTTTATAAATAAAACAAAAATAAATTGGTTTCTTCTCAAAAATCTTTTATTTACATAACAAATAATAAATAAAGATTGCACAAAGATACTTCAATAATATCTAATACTTAAATATTACTATTATACAAAAACTATTGTTTCAGAATAGTATTAAGATCTTTCAAACATTTTATTAATCTTATATATAGTAGATATAGTATTAACAATAAATGCATTTCTTGTTAAAAAAACTCTTTCTACTGATTCTTTCGCTATATACAAAAAGATGTTTGCAAGAAGTTTTTATATTTCTTGGCTAATATAGTCTTCTCACTTTCCTTAAAATAACTTGAAGATTGTTTTCAAGAGTTACTATTATCTTTTCTCACTTGTTTGCAAACTCCTTTTAATAAAAACTTGAGATTTAATGGTTTAAATAGACTCAATCATATATTTTCTTTATTAAAAGCAAGAAGATTTTAGAAAGTAAAAGGATCAACCAGTAAAGTGTTATCTTCTAGAGCTGGACATGACATGGAGATAGAGATTTTTTAGATAGGGAAAGACTTATTATTTACCTTCTTACATACTGTTTCTTACTCTCTTAGAGTATCTATAGTTTTTCATGATTTTTTTGATGAATTTTGCCTACTTCAGCTTGACCCTAAATTTCTGGTAGCATAATATTACCTAGCTTCTGATTGATTAATATAAAACACATTGATAGCAAAATATAAACAAGGTTTCACTAATCATACTCCCATGTTCCAATTATAGTATTGGTAAAAGAAAGAGAAATCAAAGATATGAACTCCTTTACTTCTCCAAATAAAGTCTAACTGAAGCAAAAAAATTATGAGGCCATTAGAATAGACAATAAATTCCCTAATTGATGAAAAGAAAATTATTTTTTCAAACTGTGACCTTCAACTTCTTATTATTCTAGTCAAGCAAAATACATAAAAGAAATTATTTCTTTATTTCAATCAGGCTGTAAGATTAAAAAGCAAAGAGATATAAAATATTATTCTTCTTTAGGATTGGGAATACATTTTTCAAATATTATATAATAATATCATAATCAAGATAAATATCAGTAAAATTTCTTTAATTGGATGTAGTTGCTGAAAGATATCAAGAGTTACTTAACAAAACTGAAAAGTCAAATAAGAACTTGAGATCTATTATTAGTTGTCTTTTTCTGTATAGATGAATACAAAATCAAGACTGAAAGAAAGAAGGTGTTAAGTAAAACATTGGATCTGAGTAGATTATAAGTACCTTAGATGGTTACAAGAAAATAATTAAGAGCACGAATGGATAAGTTCCTTAGATAATCAGGAAGAAGAAAAATATCTTAAAAGGGTTGACTTCTAATAAGAAGAGATTTTTAACAGAGATCCTTTAGAGAACATGGAGCATTTTTAATTTTTTTTTCTTTTTTCTTTTTATATAGTATATTTGAACAATTTTAAATATTTCCTTTTTCTTTTCCCTTTTGTAGTTTCTCAAATTCAGTTCCTTGGAAGATAATAAGCAGTGACAACCTGTTAACAATGATAAGTAAATTAGAAAGGTATTTACTTCAAATCTATCCCGAAGTGAAATATTGTTCTCAAAGTTGCACTTAGAGACTAAAGCTTTTTTGAGAATTGAAAGCTATTAACAAGTGTGTAAATACAAGTCTTTTAATTTAATCATGATACAATTGCCCTATATATCTTTATTGATTTTTATAATGATTAATAAACATATAATGCTGGCCTGATCACGGATTAAAAAAAACAAATGCATTTCTTCAATAAAAAAACTAATATATGTGCATTCCTTCAAATACCACATAACAAAATATTAAGCATATTCAAGAAATTTAAATCTTTAATAGAATTACTTATTATATAATACCTCTGAAATAGTGATTATAGAATTTATTATTGATATAATCAGGAAAACATCCTATAGTCTATTACAAACTTCTCACAATTCAAAATCAAAACACACCAAGCACTACTCAAATCTAAAAACTTCAACTTAAAATAAACTTATTGATAAAAAATTTACTTATCTTAAATAGATATATAAATGCCTTGCTTTTTGCAAAAAAAAATAAATATATAGAATTTAACAAATGCAATATATTAAAAGTTCAAATTACAACTTTATTTTTATCGCATATTCTAAAAATTTAATAGTATAAACAATAAAAATGTTAAATCAATTTTAAATAATAACTCGAAATTCTAATACATTTTTAATTCGAGAACAAGAGTTGCAAATCGAAATCTCATATATAAAATTAACTCTACTAATAAAACAAAAAAAAAGTATTTTAAACCTAAGTTTAACCTGATATTGCTTAAATCAATCATCCATCCATATTGTACCGATCAATCCAACAATGAATGACTATCGTAATTCTGCTGTGGAGGTTTCTGTGGAGGTGCAGTCTGCATATAATTTGCTTGAAACCTCGGGTTATTCTGTGAGGTGACTGTTGATTGGTAGTATCCTTGCTGTGGTGGGATAGGTTGATTAGGTTGTTGATATTGTTGCAATGGGGCTGGTGGAATCGAATTTGTTTGAAATTGAACTGGTGGTTGCTGTAGTGGTAAAGCTTGAGAAGGAGGGCGTTGTACTTGCGGGTGAAATCCTAGAGGATATTGTTGTGGGGCCTGATATTGTTGCGGCACAGATGGCAATGAAGTATAACCGCTTGGCAAAGGTGGTGGCGTGGTGTAATTATCGTAGGTTGATTGCTGTAATGAGGCATAACCGCCCGGTGAAGGTGGTGTAGTATTGTTGTCGTACGTCGATTGTCTTTGTGCAGGTGACCCCTGTTGAGGTGCTGACTGTGGATATCGAAAATTTGCCGTAGTATTGCTTGGCTGTGCTGATGGCTGGGATGGAACTAAAGGCGGAGCGCCATACAAGCTTGAAGGTCTCGAATAAGAAGATTGTTGAAATTGTTGCTGCGAAGGCGGAATTTGCGTTATATGATAGTTTAGTTGAGCAGCCGATAATTGAGACTGGAATTGCCCGTTGTAAGGTTGACCTTGAGGCAATGGTTGTGATGTAGATGTTTGATGAGATAGCTGGTGGGATTGAGGTGTTGGTTGGTGTGAAATATAAGTATTATTCTGCTGATTATAGCCCGTTGGTAACGGAGGTAAGGGTGGAGCTTGGGTCTTGGGCGGTAGCACTGGTTGCATAGGATACGCAGATGAGGATTGTGTTGAAATAATTGAAAGTCTTTGAGATGGTGGTGGCGCGTAATATGAAGTAGGTGATTCAGGTGCTGATGGTCTTGGGGGGGCCGAAGGATTACTAAATGATTGCGCAACTGTCGGAGGATAGGAATCTTGGCGTACATGTGTGCTTGGAGTTGAAGACACGGCTTGGGAATTTGGAATTGTAGACGTATTGCTCGTTTTTATTTCTCGATTAATAGAACTAGAATATACGTTGGATCCTTGAGTACCACAGTTGAGCGACAATTTACTTGTTTCTTCAACTAGATATGTAAGGTCATATAAACTATTTCCATTATTGGAAGGAGCTGTAGTAGGCGCATTCACTTTGCTCAACTGATCTTTCAACATTTGCTGATCTTGAATCTTTATAGATTGCACTAGTTCATTTCGTTCTTCTTGTCGTGATTTAACAAATTTTTGAACAGTCTTTTCAAGGCTCTCGATCAAATCAGTAAGATCAATATAAAAGTTGATGCCCTTACTATGAATCGCATTTTCAATTAATACAAGGAGAAAAATTTTATAACAATAACATCAGCATACCTCAAACCGTCCTTGACTTCCAAGTAATTATCTTTGGCTTTTCTCAATCTTTCACAAACATCTTTTCTTTTACGTTCCACTTGATCCCATCGTTCCTGTAATGTTCTAGCTTCTTCGTCCTCCATTAGGTTTTTGTATAACACAGTCAACTCTTGCAATAAAGCTTGTTGATGATGGATGCTAGCCGTGATTCGATTTCTATAGGGTGCAAACTTTTCTAGTTCGGTTGCAAAAAGTTGCGGTTCAATGTTTTGTGTTTTTTTATTTAGAATGAGAAGGTGTGATATATCGTCTTGGTGCGTCTAATAAAAGAAGAATTAATAAAATAATATAAAATTTAACATATTTTAATTAATCTGCTTACTTTATCCTTCAAATCATTCAAAGTGTCCATCCTTTCTTTTCTAACTTTATGCAAATTACTTAAGCATTCATCAATTTGATTAACCTTGAACAGAATTTCCTCTTCTGCTCGTGGCGCGTCAACATCCAAAAGACTTTCACCAACATTTAAATTTGAACTATCTGCCTCTCTTATATTACTGACAAAAGATAATGCCTCAGCAAAGGTTTTTTCTAGTTCATCACTGTTCTCACCGTTACGCAACAACATAATGTCGGGCATCGCCTGATCAATTCTTTGGAGTAATTCCCTATCAGAGCTGTTTGCTTTCTCGAGTGCATCGAGATGATTAAGTAAATCTTGATGAAAAACTGTAGTATGCGATGAAGATGGACGTTGACTCCATGAGTCTCCATATTTTGCCTAATAAAATTGTCATGTAAATAAAAATCTCATTTAAAGCTAAAAGTTAATAGGCCGTACCTTCAAGGATTCGTAATCTCGTTGTTCAGCATCTAACAGTTTGGATATCTCATCTAGGACTTCTTTCGATCGACCTTTCAAACTATTCAGAGTCATTAATAAGTCTTTAATAGACCCCTTTTGTTCTTCATCTTTAATTGATTTTGCCCACTGTTTGACTTCTGAAGTGGGAATAGAAAGCTCGCTAAAAGATCTAATATCATTGTTACGAAATTTAGACAAGGCGCCTGGCAATTTCATATACTCTAATGCAGCTTCCAATTCTCCATTTGCTAAATCACATCTTTCGGTCTCACTGCGAACCATCTTAGCTTTCTCTTCGGAGTATAAAGATGCAGACTCATGAACCGATAATGGAATTAAACGCTGGAAAATATCTGGACCTATAACCCTTTGGATTTCGTTGGGTAGATAAAGATCCTGTATGGGTATTGGTTTCGCCGCAATTAACTTGTCAATTGGTGGAATAACACTTTCTTGTGGAACGACCTCGTGATATATTATATCATTATCACGAGTTGCTGAGTTTTTTTTTTCTGTAATAAGAGCCAAATTCGACTTTGTGAGGTCCTGCAAAGATGTTGCTGCGTCAGGAGGAAGAGTCTGGGTCGCAGTCGGTGAAAAAGCTGATACAAAACTGTTGGACAACTTATTGGCCTCCTTGGCCAAATTTTCTGCAATATTAAGACGACCAACGCATTCGCCGTATTTAACTTCTCCTTCACAGGCTATTGATTTTTGATATTGGGCAATCGATGAGAAGTATTTATGCTTAATCTAAAGCAACAATAAAAAATGTCAGTTTCGATATTAAATGAGGATTTAAAGGAATCCAAGTCATACCTGACAAACTGTCAGCCAACTACGATCAAACACATTTCTCGAGATCAAATCAGATATATTTTCAACGATGTTTCCGTATGACCAACCGGCTTGTGCTGCTATCTTAGCTATCAGTGTAGGTTTATTTTTGGCTCCCAGACTTTGTTCAAGAAAACATTCTTGAGCTTGAGTTAACATAAGTTGAGAAAGCAGTTTTACCGTATCCCGACTCAAATCAGTTGAAGGAGCATGCAAAAAATTATCGTTTATGTAATTATACATCCCAGCGGAAGCTTGAAAAAAATTGAATGCGCGTTTCAAGCCTTCAGGTTCTGATCGATTTTGCGACGCCGCAATGGCGGACAAAACGGAAGCAATGTTAAATATTGTACTCGCTTTTTCATAAGCGAGGGAATATTGTGAGGTTGTCTTATGTGTAAAGGCATCGTACCTTGAAAGTTACGTTTGTAAGATAAATGAGATAAAGACAATAAAAAATTTGAATTCAATACAAACCATGTAAAAGAAACTTTAATATTATTTTCATCCACCGGAAATCTCAAATCAAGTAACTCAAGCTGTCCATAATATCTGTACAATAGGTCCCTGCCGGTTATGTCCTTACCAGCACCTCTCATATCTTGTCTTAGGCGGTGAATGGAATTAGCTTCGTCAGCATACTTTTCCGGGTCTTCTTGATATGTCGTTTGAATGTAACGTTTCAGAGGGCCTGCCCAATCAACTTCGTCCGTCCTTTTTGTTGGCACATAAACCGTTGGACTTTGATTCATTTTTATCGTTGGTTTCTCGTCGCGAATTTTTGAAAGCAATTCTTGCTTCTTACTTGAGGATCTGCATAGTTCGGACTACGTATCTGAGTATTAAATTTGGTTATTAAAGCTGCTTGCATATCTTACGTAATATTAAAATCTAAAAAAAAAATTTTAATCCATAATTTATAATTTATAAAAAAACCAGTTTTTGGAATATTTATGTTATTTTTTTTGCTGAATATTACATAAGTGGCAATATGTCAAATAATTTTTTTTTTGACTAGTGTATCAAAATAACTTTTCAAAGCTAGAAGTGATATAATATATTTGAATGGAAAAAAGGAAATAGTTTGATCAAAAAAATATATTATATTTGACAATTATAATAAAGCTATTCTATTATTAAGAAATAATAGATTAATATATAGATTAACTCATTAACTATGAGTTAAATAATCTATGGATTAATAATGCAGTGAGTGTACTCCTAGATTACTATTCATAAACTATTGATTCAATTCTACTCTAGAACAATTTCTATAATATAAATCATATTATATAAGATGTATACTTATTAACACTAGTCGAAAAATATTTATTCGGTATAATGTCACTCATATAATATTCATCAAAAAAATAAATAATTCAGCATATTAATGACATAAATAAATCATCAATCAATTTTTATCATATAATTTGGCATATAATTTGATATAAATAAATCATCAATCAACATATACTATACAATTCGGCATAAATAAATCATCAATCAATTTCTACTATATAATTCGATATTTTTTTTTTTTTTTTTTTTTTAATACCCGTGGTCAGGCCAATATTGTGTGTTTATTAATTATTAAGAAAACTGATTAAGGATATATAGGACAATTGCATCATGGTTAAATTAAAACTCGTACTGACACACTCGTCAATGGCTTTCAATTCTCAAAAGAGCTTCAGCCTCTAAGTACAATTTTGGGAACAATATTTCGCTCTGAACTAAGTTTTGGGTGAAGACCCTCCTAACTTATCCATTATTGCCAACAGGTTGTTACTACTTATTATCCTCCAAGGAACTGAATTTGAAAAACTATAAAAGGGAAAAGAAAAAATAAAAGGAAGGAGAATATCTAAAAATGCACAAATGTACCACATGAAAATAAAAATAAAAAATAAAAAATAAAAGTGCTCTATATCCTTCAAGAACCTCTGCTAGAAACCTTTTCTTATTAGAAGTCAACCCTTCTGTGATATTCTTCTTCTTTCTAACCGTCTGAGGAACTTATCCATCTGTGCTCTTGATTATTTTTTTGTGACCGTCTGAGGTACTTATCACCTACTCGGATTCAGTGTCTTGCTCAATGCTTCCTTTCTTTTGGTCTTGATTTTATATCCACTCACGTAGAAGAAGATGACTAACGATGGACCCCAGGTTCCTATATGGCTTTTCAGTCTTGTTGTGTAACTCCCGATATCTTCCAGAACCACGCCTAGTTAAAGGAATTTTACTAGTGTTCATCTTAATTATGATATCATTACTCAACATCTGGGGAAATGCATTTTCAATCTTAGAAAAGGGTAGTGTTTTACATTCCTCTGCTTTTTGGTCTTACAGCCTGACCGGGATAAGGAAATAACCTTCTTCACGTACTTTGCCTGACCGAAATGATAAGAAGTTGAAGGCCTCGACTTGAACAAATAATTATGTTATCACCACCTAGAGAATTTAGTACTCATTCTAATGGTTTCATAATTTCTTTGCTTCAGTTAAACTTTATTTGGAAGAGTAGAAAAGTTCGTATCCATGATTTCTCTTTCAATCATCAATGACGTTATCAGAATATGTAAGGTGACCAATAGGAGCTTGTTTATATTCAGCTACTAACGTGTTTCATGTCGACCAATCAGATGCCAGGTGACGTTGTGCTACCAAAAATTCAAGGTCAAACTGAGGTAGGCAAAATCCTCCAAGAAAACCATGAAAAATAGTAAATACTTTAAGAGGATATAAGACAGTTGTAAGAAGGTAAAAAATAAGCCTTTCCCTACCAACAGAATCTCTATATCTTGTCGCTTCTAGCTCTGTAAGGTGACACTCCACTTGTCAGTCCTTTTACTTTCTAGAATCTTCTTGCCCTTAATAGAGGAAGTGCGTACTTGAGTCTTTTCAGATCACTAGAGGCTCAAGTTTTTATTCAAAGAAGTTTATAAACAAGTA